GTTGGCTACATCCGTGTGGGCCTATAGAGACTGGGGCATGTCTACTCGGTGTCTGGATGGACAGTTTGATGGATGAGCATAACTAATACGTGTCAGGGATAAGCATTTGCCTCATAAGCAAGCTTCAAGCAGGATTGCGTCAGAGCCACCGGGAAATTGATATGCGGCTCAGCAGTCAACCAGAGCCGGAAGTAAGGGTGAACCGAGGGTTGTTTGGCGCCTTGGCTGGGCCTAACTTCGTCACGCTTGAACGAAGTCCCTGAGGTTGAGGCAAAATTAAGATCAGACTCGGCATCGGTTTCGTCTCCGGCCCTGTCCGCGTTTACGAGCAACAGGCTATTCACCTCCTTCTCGAGTTTCGGCAGCCAAGAGGTGACCAGATGGAGATTTTTCAGACAAACCCAGTCACCGACCTCCACCGCTTCACGAATTTCACGTAGCGCCAAATCAAGCTGGCCTTGACCCATGGCAACTTGTCGATAACGGAATGTTTCGGGCGGTTCACCTGAAGCTATCGGGCCCACCGATAGCATAAGTTTAAAATAAAATTTATACAAAGATAATCAGTAATAGAAGGCGCAAACCCAAGGTTTACAATGGAGACACAGAATTTAGGGTTGTTTTCAGGGGCTCAACTAACCTAAATTCGCTCTGAATGCATTTAGATTATCTTGTGAAAAGTGTGATTGGCTCAGTCTCACCAAGACGGGCAACAGAAGCGCTGGCTGTGGAAACAAACCCGACTCTTAGATAATAACTCAAGTAAGCACAGGTACTTTTGGATGATATAGGAAATGGCAATGGAGTTTCTCACAATAAAGTGAATAGAAGGCCTCATGACTTTATTAAGTTTCAATAAAACTTGACTCCCAAACTCTTTCTACTCCGTGCAAGACTGCCGTTTGACCTCATTTTGGTCTTATCAACATCCCCAACCAAATGGTAACCAGCCATACTTGCCTTGAGAAGCGGATCTGTTCTCTGACACATCAACACTCGTGGCTGCATGGCGAAGTCGTAATGTTGTCGCATGGTACGTGAAATGATTTTACATTCCCTCATGAGTGATGATGAGGCCGAGGAGAAAGAATCTGAAAACCCCCTTGAATGAGAAAGCCGTTTAGGAGGCAAGAATGAGTGAAATTCAATTGCATCCTCAGGTACTCTACTTATTTACTCGTGGATACCTCCACTATAAGTCCTTGCATCACCCTAAATAATCTAGACTGGTTAGAGTTCTTATTTAAGGTCTATTGAATAATTGAAAGCTAATCAGGCTGCGTTGTTATGAAATTATCATCCAAAATACAATATTCCTACATTCGTATTGAGTAATTCAAAAGATTACCAGTAGATCATAAATAAGCGATGTATTCGATCAGGATGGTTAAATTTTCCACCAGTGATGTGAGAATTCTTCACAATGTCATTGAATTTGCCTTAGCCTTGTATCCCAAAGTCATTCTTAGTCCACTCTGAATGATAATACATTTTTGGAAGTAAGATTCAGAGCACAATTTTTAGGAAAGAAATGATGGATAAGAGGCAGTTATGTAATTTACTTATGGAGCAATCGACAGACTAAAATATCACTAATACAATATTTAGTATGTTCGAGGCAAATAAATGGTAGAAAACAGGCATAAGAGCAAAAACATAATCGGCTGCCAAAGGTAAATAAATCTAGTAAGTCATATAATACAAGTTTTGAAAAAGCAATGGGAGCTAATATGAATATAATTTTTTAGTTAATATAGCGGCTCAGTGTGAAAATAGTCAGTGAATTGCGCTTTTATGATTCGAGCTCATTAGTTTACGGATGGTATTTCAGGGAAGGTAGAGACCGAAATAAGGAAAAGGCCCAATTTATCAGTTACATTTTACTAGAACTCGAACCTCGAGAATGTATCCTAATCTGCGTATCATATGTATCTTAATACCCGCCTATCTCATCAGCACTTCTGAAGCGATTTCAATGCGATAAGATCGGGTACGTACCAAATCATATTACCTTAGATAGCTTACTTAGCCCCCAATGCTTGAATGATTTGACCACTGCTTTCATCAGAGCTACATTTCATGAGCGATCACCTAAGGCCGTATGGAGGACTTTAAATGTTATTCGAGTGGATCAATCGAGATAGTATGGAAAGGGAGAATAATGCACAAGAGTAGATTAAGATAAAATACGACTAAGAAAATATTGATAACTATTCTATAGAAATCTAAAGCAGGCTTAAAATAATGGTAATTTCCAAATTAGAAGTTCTAATCAAAATAAAATTACAAAGGCTGTACAGAAACTTAGTCACTTGTACCTGATGATAAAGAGGGCAATTCTTACTCGCGATGACGGCGAAATGTCTGGGAATATAGCAAGTCAAAGGTACAGCTCTGGAATAATAATGATTACTGTGGCAGAAGACGCAGGACTTGGTGCGCTTCACAAGGTCTCTCTATCACCGCGACTAAGTTGCAAAAGGAAGGTAAAGATTATTCTATACAACCTGAAGAGACAGAGACCAATTATAAGGTCACACCGTCTTGGCCTTCACATATACGCTTCTCTAGTGACAGCAACAGCCAAAAGTTTTCGCAAGATATATCGCGAAAGTACATGACCAACGCTCGCCTTGATGCACTAAAATTAACCTGCAGATGATTATTAATACGATCTCGCCTCACCAGAGTTCTATCCTCATTTTAAGTTTAAATCAGGCAAAAATGTTGAAATATGTGAAAAAGAGCTTGTTTTTGAAGAAACCCTTAATAAATTAACATGACGAATTTTACTTTTGAAGATGTTCGCTGGAAGGAATTCGTGGATTGACCTAATTTGGAGTCGAAAGTGGGTTGACATAGAGTATAGACGGTTGAGTTGTGCAAAGGAGTCCTCGACTTACCGTCATGCGAACCTGATGAATCTGTGTTGATATTTAATTTGTCATGTGGCAGACGTTGCTACTCTGAAAGCCTAAAAGTTAGGTCAACCAAATCATGAGATAACCCATTAAAGTCACAAAAGTAAGTATAATAAATGCATATGATTAGAGGCGGCCATCCTTTTTTGATTAAGTGTATTGGTGCTTATCTTCGTAAATGATGTCTTTTCACTTTGTTGATGTATGTAAAAGGATTAACGGATCATCGGAGTCTCAGGACGGTAAGGCGAGGACTTCATTACACAATCCAACAGCCTTTACTTCAAGGCCATTCTCCTTTGGATCCCGGTTAGGCCAATTCTCAGAATTCCTTCCAATCAATTTTTCCACTGAAAGGAAAAGTTGAGTAAAATAAAACCTAGTGAAAGTTCACTTTATCAGATCCGCTTAGCATAGCGGCCAAGCTGAGACGCTGGAGAAGATGTAAAATAAGAACTTACTTAAGGTCTTGGATGTAGATGCCAGTTCAGCGGCTTCCGTGAGTTCTTGTGATGGATCGGCACCAGGACTGAGCAGAATCAGGATAGGCTCGGTTGACCTTGTCTCGCTTTGATAGAATCGGTACAGACTAAGTGTATCAAGAGCCAGCTGATTTAGTCCTGAGCGGATTCGGGATAAGAGTTAAAGCAAAGGTAGGAGAAGAGGGGATAGATTAGGCTGGAGGATAGCAAAAGAACTACTAGCGAAGACAGACTATGAGGGTTTGCTGGTTCGAATTCATTTTTACAACTTGGTCATGCTTTCAGGATTGCTTCAATCAAGGTATTTCTTACTGTCTCCCCTGCTACTTTGTCATGTGTTCTGTCATTGGACCGTAGAATGCCTCCATTTCCGGACTTTTATATCGTACTGTAAATGGCATCATCGGCGAGCAGCATCATCTTTAGAGACGAAAATTATACATAAAAAGACGACCATATTAAAAAAAAGAGCGAAGTGGGAAAGCAATCAGGCAAAAGGGCGAAAGATCTTCATAGAAAAGTCAGTTTGGTTGACATTTGTGCAATCTACTATATATATACCTTCATTGAGCAATCCTTGACAATTTTTTATGTTTTCCGGATGAATGAAGGTTGGAGGGGAAATATCTCATTGCAATGGGAAAAATTTGAAATGTATTGCTTACCCATTTATAACTGACTGCATTTTAGACCTCTTAAAAGCTTTATTAGAGCAAAACACTGGTGACCTGACACAATAATTTGACAATGCAACTCGTGGGCGTTGTGGCAACTATGCAGATCTCTGTTAAATGACCATTGAATCTAGAAGTATCATATAAGCGATAAAAAATGGAAGCTAATATTCGCTTTTGTCAGAATGATGGGGCGTCAATTATGGTAATTAAAGAACAAAATCAGGCTCATTTTTTATTTATCCGAAGAGCGAGTATAGGGCAATATAAAAACCGGAAAAGTAGTATGTGAAAACGAAAACAATTTAATCGAAGGTATGAAGACCAAGATGGTCTGGCCTTTTGTATGGTCGCAATCTCCTATCGTTGTATAGAAGTTGTTTGAATTTGTTTTTGCAACTTGGTCATATTGGTAGGAAGACTTAGAGAAACGCACTAGTCCGGAGTCCACTGTACGCATGCTAATTCTAGAATCGGACCATGGATGTGATACATTCCCAGACGTTTCGCTGGCATCGTCAGTAAGTCTCACCATTCTTAGCACCACAGAACAACCCGTCAAAGAGACAAGTGAAGCCGATCCTTTGACCAAACGTCTGCTAAATAGTCGTGGTATCTCCCCTTCTGCCTTGGGCTATTCAAATTTCCTTTATCCTACTATCACGCCTTCACTGTTACAATTTTTAAACTGTTTATTTCGATGTAGTGTGATGTGCTTCTTTGAGCGACATGTTGGGAATACCAGTTTGTTACGCAGTCCTCGTTCCCTAGATTTTATCACAGTCGCTCTCTTGCTTCGTAAGATCCGTCTGTTCTCTCCCTGGTTCACGCATTTCAATCGAACCCTGCCACCCCATCTGTGCTACCCGAGGCGTTATTCGTCCTCCCCTGAATCTGGGTGACTAATTCGAGGCTCAAGCATTTGAGTAAGTCTCATCATCAAACCTTTGAAACATGGACCACGTCTCTAGTAAAACTTACTCTCAGCCAACTAGATCCAGTCTCCACCGCATTTATCCTGTTTCTATCCGTAATATTAAGTCTATGACTTGCTATATCTTAGTCTCTTGTGTGTTAACCCATAAATGTTGTGGTACTGCTTGCTTTGGTTAGGTTCAATGTTGAACTACAACATTTGTGGGCTGGCACACAAGGTCAAATAACATCTATACAACGAAAGGGGACTGCGATCACACAAAATGCCACGCCATCTTGGTCTTGATACTATGGAAGTAAGATTGCTAAACAATGAACCGATTACAGCTTGACAAAGAAGACAAGTGTCAGTCAATCCTGCCATTTTGACTTTTTGAATTGTTGCAAACATTATGGTATCGCTCCCCGATTCTGCAATCTAATGAATAAGTGCCATTCGAACATAGTTAATGAAATACTTTATCACACTTTGATGCAGAAATTAGTGGAAAGTTACGAGACTGAGAGGCGTAAGGTATTT